CTGACTGCGAAGGGCCGTTGCTCACAGCCTTATCTCCCTACAGGAATGTGCTTCCATGTGCCTGGAGGCTGCGAGATGTTTTGCTGCTTTTTGGGGCTTCACAGCTGTGAATTCCAGTTTTATCTCTCCTCTTGGATAGGGCTGTGCTTGGTCGCTGAGTGCAATCAGTGTGGACATGTGGCATGTCATTTTTCTTTTTTTTCCCCTTTTTTTGGCATTGCAGAGGCCTTGGCAAAGTGAAATAAAATATAATAATAATAAAAAAAAGCAAAAAAGCCTCGATTCATTCCCTGGCAAAAGGAGAAAGGTCAAGGAGACACTGTTTATTGACTTGGGTTACCTTGGCATTTTCAGTGTGCTGGGGCAAATTAGTTGGGTATTATCACAGTTTATTCCAGGTAACTCCAAGGGGATTACAGGGATCTGGGAAATAAGGTGCAACTGCTAATCTGGGGTGACCGAAGCCCTGGACCAGTTGCGCCAGGGCTTGTGCGGGCACGGCAGGAGGAGAGGACTGTCCCAAGAACCAGKCTGCCCAGTTTTGGGTCGTGGGCCCTGCAAAGCATCCAACCATCATAGCAGTCATGGGACAGCGCTGTCTTCACTGCAAGAACAGCTCCTTCTCTCTCAGGGTTTCAATTGGCCAAAAGCGTGACTATTTCCATACTGATTTAAAAAGAAATAAATTAAAAAAAAAAAAAAAAGGAAGAGTTTGGTATAGTGTTTATTTTTATCATTTCCTCTTTTAAGAGAAAGAAAAGGAATTTTTCTGAGCTGGGTTTGTTGCAGTACTCACAGAGCTGACCGTATCAGCTGTGGAGGAAATGGCTTTTATCAGGCAGATGGAGCCAGATTTGGGCTCCGAAGGTTGCAGCGTAGTGAAATGCATCAGCACTCTCTTCATCCTGCTGTGCCTTTCGTTTTGGAAGTGATCTAATTTTATTTGCCTTTAATATTATACTTCAGATTCATTTTATCCTGTTTTATTTTGTATCTTTTGTTAAAGTATTTTGTGGCACTGTATGTGCTGTTGGCATAGATCTAGTACATACAATATGACACACAGCTCAAACATCCTATCACTGATTTTATTTTTCCTTTTATTTTAAATGTAATTTACTGTAGCTTCTGCTCAGTGCTGACTGAAATATTTTATCTTCCTTTCTTCCTGTGTCAAAGCGTAAAGCTCCCCTATGAGAGAAAGAAAGATGTTTTGATCTGTTCTAAGCAGCAACTGCCCTTAATAGTTTAAAAATAACACTTTTTGGTAGAATGGTAGAATATTTAAATTACAATATGTCATGTTATGACATATCAGTATTAGTCAGCGCATAATTCTATTGATTAGTCATGAAATAACATGAAAATATGAAATAAGAGAACTTCCATATAACAGAATAGATTTTAAAATAAATATTCCAGTTCCTGGAACTGACTTTGGAAACCACATATCTCTTAAACTTTTTTTATTTTTTTTCCCTCCTGATTGCCCATTCTGTGAGAAATTGCTGGAATATTGGTTTTATTGTAGCTCAGATTAAAAAAAAATTCAAAATGTCAAACTTGAATGAGAAAAGAAATTCTGAATTTTGACTTTCTCTGAATTGGAAGTTTATTGTTGGAACTGTAGTCAGATGATGATCTTGGGTCTTTTTCCTTCTCTTTTCCACATTTTATGACTTTTTGCAACTATACAAATATTACTTTATGGGAACAATCATAATATACAAAGGATTTTTCTTCTGTAAAGCTTGCTGTAGAGATTTTAAGAGTAATTTAGAGTTTTATTTATGGTAGCATTTAAAACCATGACAAATCTCTTTTCAACATCCGAGGCACAACCTCAGTTTTAAATATGTGCCTGATTTTCTTTTGTCAGCAGGCGAATTTAGATATTTTACACCTCAGCAGCTGATCATGCTGAATGGGCCACTCTGTTCCCTTGTCCTCTTGTTTCCACTGTGAATTTCATGGTATTAACGCCAACATAGTTGCATACTGTGCCAGATTGATGAGTTGATCCAAGTGCAGACCAACCTGACAAAAAAGAAAAAGTTTAGTTTTCAAATTAATCAGTTCCCTAATCTTGATCACYATTTGGCTGCATGAACTCTTGATGCATGAAGGCACCAAGCACGGACTTGTGCTCCTGTGCTCAAGGGTAAAGACGAGAGCCAAGAGGCTTCAGTTAGTGGCAGTATAGACTTGTATGGGATTAAAGTGATCATGTAAGCCTGGCCTTAGTAACTTTAAGCTTTGTTTACTTATGTGCATAAGAGTGTTTGGGAGTACTGTTTTTTGGCTAACAGAACAAGTACATACAGCACTGTGTGAGAGAGTGTTACAATAAACCCAACACTCGCTTCCCCCACCCCCTAAACAAACAGTCCCAATGTGTGTATCCTTTTCTGGCCAAAAAATGTAATTGTTGAGAATGAAAAATAGGAGTATGATGTGTAGAGCCAATGCCCATCTACTTGCAACTCTTTTTCCATCCCTTCCCTATGGCAGTGCTTGGTGAACTTGAACTGTCCCCTGCACTTCTGCTAGATCCCCACATGGTGTGACTGAATGGAGAGTGCTTGTGCACTCAAGCCTGCAGTGCACATGGGAAATGAGCTGCAGATCTAAGAAGATAAGGCCTCATAGCTGCCACAGTGGCCACAAGCAGTGCTTAGCTTCATCTCTGTGTGCTGGGGCCTGTGCCTGTCTGCTACCTGGGATGTGCTCTTAGGGAAGAGGATGGCATGTATAGTGGCAGAAGGAAGGGGAATATTGCCAGTGATGTCGGCAATAATGTGGAGTTTCCAGTGACCTAGGTACTAGCAGCTGGAAGTTCCAGTTTACACCTAGGTGCTAGCAGCTGGAAGAAGTCACAAATGCCCTGCAGAATGTCCAAGAAGAGATTTCAACAAGCGTCTGTTCTCAGTTTACTCTTCGGGATCCTCACGGATTAGCATTTACCACAGTAAGCCTGGAAAGATTGATTCATAAGGCCAGTACTCAAAACATTCTATCAACCACTACATTAAAACCCATTAAATGCACTTATGATTATTGGTGTTAGATAACTGAGTGGATATGTTGGCTTTGTTACAGTGGGCCTTCCAGTTTTTSGGTACAGTCAATCTATCCTGTTTCTGGGACTGCATTCAAATTTGTCTTTTCCTGTTCTACTCCTTCGAGCCTGTCCCTACATATATCTCACACCTCGCTACATACAGAAAGTATTTCCTCTCCGATATGATGGCATAACTGCCTGTGTGAATTCTCCTTAACCTGTTTCAATCAAAGTGTGTGGCAGCAAAACCCTACTGTATAAACGGTTTAAATTACTTTAGCCTATTTTGACTGAGTTGACAGATGGAAGAAGACAGCAAGAAAGCAGATAGTAGCAGTGACTTCTGTGATGCTGACTTAGAAAGGAGGTGACCAGTGCTTTTTCCCAGCTGTGCTTGCCCTTCCACTTCTGTAGGAGAACAGAACGATAATCTTTCTGTATTATTGTGTAGACTATTTCTTCTGCAGCTGAAGCATCTCAGTTATTTTTTTGATTGCACCTGAATCAAGGTACTTTGAGCTCATCTAAAGTGAGATGAGCTGATGCTCATTGCTGAGCTGATGCAGCTRTGGCTGGGTTATGCAACAAGTAAAGGCAGTTTTCTTCTGCAGTGCTTATTATTTATTAGCCTTAAATTTTGTTCAACATCAAATAGCTATCCTCAAGCACTTTGGAAAATATTATTGCCTAACTAACCTAAAATAACTGTGCACCATTTGGAAATGTTGCTGTGTCCCTGTGTAATTCCCTTTTTAGATCTTCAGTGCTTGTGCTTAAACACAGCAGACCTGATCTGGCAGTAGAAGGAGCCAACTGCAACCTTCAGCCATGGGGAAACTTGACTGTTGGCTCTCCCTGCATTGCTTCCTGGCTTTTAAATCATTTTTGCTGTGTAAGAATATTTGGTCTCACAGCCCAGGGTCATTCTGTGCCTGCAGAGGATGGACGCTGTGTTAACTGGTGTACTAGTGTGCACTGTGAGGAACCAGGCCTTGTCAACTGGTAAATCTTGCCCCATTACCTTGCAGAGATTAGGACTTGTAGCTAGTAGCATTCCCTGCCTTCAGCCTTTTGAGAGGCTGCAAAGCTTTGCCAGCCAGATCTCCAGTGCCTTTATCAATACATRCAAGGAAACAGATGACATACGATTTTGCAGGACAGAAACCCCATTTGTTAGATTGATTATTTTTGAGTGGTTTTTCTGAGGACATCATGTTCTCTTTTTAAGTCATATTAAGCTGGGACGCTTGGTGWTTTTTATCTTCAATTTTCAGCCATTTTGAAAAACAATGCAAGTCTGTGCTGTCCTTCCAGTCTTTGAAACAGGAGCTGCTTGTGATGAGATTATACTTATTTCTGTACTTGCTCTGTACCTAARTTTCACTCAGACTCATTAAGGTTACCACTACAGGCCCAGCAAGTGGATGGTTTCTGACTCGTTCTTGAGCTCTGTCCCAAGCTGTTATTGCTGACACATTCATCTCTGAGGCAGACTGCTTTAGGAGCTGAAAAATGCATGTTTGTGGTGGGCATCTTCTCAACATCTTTAGCACTAAAGATTGATGCAAAGGAATCTTTCAGCTTCCCAGAACTGCAGTGCCTGCTTTAACTGTTCCCCTAAAGCCTGGCCAGTCGAGTAAGTGCCCAGATTACTCTGCACATTTCCTGATTTGGATTTTATTTCAGATTCATGTTTTATGATTTAGAGACTCTGAGGCTATGTATGTACTGGGATGTATTAAAGGCAACTACGAACAGGTCTGTAAAACAAAACGACTGGTGCTGAGGATGCAGTATTCAGAATATGCAACCGCGTTCTCCAATTTCCAAGCAGTTTTTATTTTAGATGAGGTGTAGTCTGATCTCGTGGAACGCATTCTCCTAAGCGAAGCTTACTGATTAATACTTAAGCCAAAATTACTGATTAATACTAATCAGTATTAAATAATGCTGATCAAATTTGCTTTGAAAGCATGCTCCTGATCTGAAGTGCTCATGTAGACAAATACTGAAAGAACCCCAAGTTTTAGTACCTCAGCCTATTCATTTTTTCAAATTCAATTTTGGATCTTTCTGTTTCCCTCTTTTTTCTATTTTTTTTTTTCTGCCTGCAGTTACTCATTTATCATTGCCTTCATTATGACTGGATTTCCAAACATGCAATTGTATGTTAGTTGGGCTTGAATAGCCTCTTGAATCTTCCCATTTAGCCATATGTTGCTTCCTTGGGGCCTTTTATTAATGAAATACCATTGATGATGTTTCAGTGCTGGTCCCAGGTGGCTTGTTTCTTTTTCCTCTCTAATTTCAATGATTTGTGAATCTGAACACAGTACCTCTCCAGCTCCCCCCAAGCTTCATGTAACAATTATACATTTATGAATGCATTTGTCATAGTCGATTATGCAGGACTTAAAACATGCTTGTTTCACAAGTGTCATTGCTGCTCTATTGTTCCTTAGGTCCTTATTCTCATTTGCTTGGAAGCAAGGCAGAAAAAGCAATTACTGTCAGCTGCTTTACGACTGAAGCGAGGGGTGACCAGCTTTCTGAACTTTACCAGGAGATGGAGCAGAGCTGGTGCACCTACCTTGACAAAGAACCCCACTGAAGTTGCAATTTTTATATGGTCTCAATGTTATGTGAAGGATGACAGTAAGGAAGGCAGGTTAGTAGGGCTGTTGTGGCTAGGAAACGTCACCTCAAAGTTAAAAGATCAGAAATAGTTTGGGAATTCYGTAGCTGAGTACCATCATTTRCTYTTATTTATTTATTTATCTATCTATCTATTTATTTGTTTTAATGTTTATGCTTAGAACTAGACCTTGCTAGTTARCTGGATGCTGTCGTCATGCCTTATAAAGTCTGCTTTTCAGAATGTGTGTATTCATTTTTCAGCTATATTTGCATATTCTCAACCTGACAGTTTCATGCCCAATTAGATGGCTGATTATATGTGAGCAATTTGCCTGAGTTATTATCTGATTTGTGCTCAGTAACTGAGTAACTGCAAGCAAGTACCAGTATAAAAATTGAGGCTTTTGCTGAAAAATTCTTCTACTTCTGGCATTTTTTGAGTCAGCCTTTGCTCCTTGTAAAATCAAGAATGTCAGCTGTCTAAAGAGAACCCGAAGTTTGGTTCCCAAATTCAGCCACGCGAACTATCAGATCAAAATTGACTCATTCTGAATCTGCCTATTAGAGAGGCTTAACCAATGCCCTGGTTTTGTGCATGAGAACTCTTTGAGGCAGAGGCGAGCCTTGCTACCATAGAATTATTTGTGTATCAAACACCAGGGGCTGCGACACAAAGTGGGCGATTTTGGCTCTTGCTTTTCCTCCTTGACCCTCCTTGGTGCCAGCGTGTCTTTTGATGTAATTGCTGGGAATGCTGTCTGAGATAATGGACCCGATTTTGTTGAATAAGCTCATCTGCTAATTAAGGCTCAGCCGGCTGGGAAGATCTAGTGCAGATATGGTATGTCTTGGTTGGGCCTTCACCAAGTGGGAGTACCAAAGGGAAGCAGTACAGGTCCATGTACTGCAAGCTGCTCCCAGACTCCTGGCATTCAGGGATATCCATCTTCTCTTCCCTCTTCATGTTGTCCAGTAGAAACATATAGCAGGCTCAGATTTCACTTACAACTGAGCCTTTACCAAGGCAAAATTGAATTAGTCTATTCTTTGCTTCTTTATGGTCTGATAAATGGCTATTATGGCAAATGGATTATGGCTTGCTAATGTTAGATTTTTTTTCTCTCTTTTGTGTAAGGAATTTGAGGCCTTGCATCTCCTCTCTTAGCTGGGGGGTTTTCTAAATGAATGAGGTATCACTTGAGATTGAAACCTAAACTACTGGTCCCCTCCCTTACCCCCAAGGAGGTGGGGGGAACTAGTTGGATGAAGCTAATCCTCTTAACTTGAAGCCTCATTGATTTGGATATTAAAGGACATTCCAGATGGGACCACACTAGGAGCTCTGTGTTCTGTGCTGGGCATCGCAAAACCAGAATGGGCCTCTTCTCACTTCAGTTTTTCTTGTAATGTGGGCTGCGTGGTGCTGTAGGGCAATGTTTGACCTAAAAATGAAGGAATTATTTTCATATGTCCCCAAGAGTGGCACTTTCAGCCTTGGTGAAGTAGTGTCGACTTAAAACAATTGATTAGAAGAACTGGTGGCATCGTTCCCAGAAACTGCACTCCCTGGCATGAAACTGTAGTATGTTGTTTCCTTGATGTAATAGACTGCATGTGGGAACTGCGAGGATACAGTGGGCAAGTTGAGCCTGGATCGCGTTCAAGTAGCTGAACCTCGGAAATGAGCTGGGAACCGACTGTCTCTCTGACTCGGTCAGTCTAGAGAGCGAGTAGAAATGAATGGAGAAGGGCTCCAAACTTGCACCAGTTTCTTTTTTTTTCTCCTTTTATTTTTTTTTATTTTTTTTTAACCTTTTCAAATGCTTCTCTGAGTTAACCAGCAATTCCTAGCCACACGCACTGGACATCCACCTGCTCAGATGACGTCCATACCAGGTGTGGGCCTATGGAAGGAGTTGTGAAGGTTTTAGCTCAGTAGTAGCTGGTGTTGTGCGTATGGCACAGGCCACAACACCCAGGCTTTTGTGGAAGACTCAAGGCTCTAAGGTGTTTTGGGCAGACAACCGCAAGGCAGCTGTTCCGTGGTTGAAATCAATGGGACTCCACTGCCTTGTGATGGATGTTTCCTGCAAGAGAAGCAGATCTTCCCATGCGTTTATGGTGGCAAATAAATAATGCAGAAGAGCCCCTTGAGGTGTTTCATGGAGTGTGGGAGTGATGGAATAGCTGCCGGCTGACAACACAAACTGTTATTCTGCTCCCTGCAACGACCAACAAGTTGGTGTGAACTTATGTCAGTGCATCTGGGCTGCTGCTTAGCGGGGGTAATGTTTTTGGCTGGGAGAGTGCTGTACGTGCTATCTTATTTTAAGATTTGCTCTGCTAAATATTTAGATTCCCTTACTGGGACTATTGAGAAAACAGAAGCCTAATCCCTAGGGAAGTAAGACATTTCCCTGGGGCTGATCCACCTTCCCTCCTTTCCTCCTCCCATGTCTGCTTTGCAGCACTGCAGATCGAGCTCAAAATACACACTGCAAGGAGAAAGTGAAACTGCTAGTGTATGAAAAACGGTAGTAGCCCCRTGTAGCAAAACGTGGGGAGGCTCAGCTGCAGGCAGCCTGCTGCGAGACAGGGAAGTAATCAGTGGGCCTTCCAAAGGGCCCTTCATGCGGCCCTTGAGCTGCTGGAAATCGATGTATTTTCCTGAAAAAAGAAAAACGTTGATCTCTGTGATGTGGCAGAATTGTTCTTTGCTRTGGGAATGGATTAACAGGGGGGCACAACATTTGTATCCCTCCTTGGAAGTCACTCTTGTACACTGAACCACATTGTGGGAAACAGATGGAGAAGGCAGAACCTGTGGGCTGCTCATCTGGCAAGGCAKGGACTGACCTTTCATGGTCAGTTTTTCATGTTAAGACTTAACATTTTATGTGAACTCCCATCAAATTGCTAATGGGATTTGTATTCCCTGGACTCCATGAACACTTCAACTCTGATTCCCTCTTGACTGAAAGCTTACCTAGAGGCCTGAGTCCTGCTGCAGGCCAGCTCTCTGCCAAGCTCACGGAAAAGCAGGTTGCTTAAAGACACAAGCATGGGCTTTCCCTAGTGCAGCAGCAGCCTGGTGCTTTATTTCTGGAACTGCCTCCTTCCACTGAAGGCCACAGACATGACTGAAAAACTAAGGCTGTCGTTGGAAAGGACCCATGTGTTTCTGTTTGCCTTTATCTTTGCTGGTGTAGCTGCTTAATATCCAGAAAATGCCCCTGTGCTTTTCAAAAGGATGCTTGTGCTGTTTRCCACAATGACTTTCTCAGCAAAGCTGCTGAGTAGCAAATTTGAGCAGCAAATTATTTTCTCTGATTGCATGGAGTTTTCCAATCTTTGTGTAATCCCTCTTTTAATCTCATCAACCAGAATAACTTCTTTTGTCTCATCTGTATCTAGAAAATCAAATTCTAGAAGATAACAGTTTTTCTCAGACAAAGTAATGACTACACCATTGGTTAACTACCTGAAATGTGGCTATATCATCATATATATTTGTGCATCTCATACTGTGCTCTGCAAACAATGTATCAAAATAAAAGTCCTTATTAAATGACCCCTTGTGTTTATATTTACATCCAAATCCTTTTCTGACCTACCTCTTAACAGTATAACATAGCTGAAGCTGTGTTATCCGGAGCAAACTCTCTGAAAATGCACTTTGAGAAGATGATCTAAATTTCTGGTGCAATTGACTGCAAAGTTCACAAGGTTTTAGGTGTTGTTACAATGTCAGTTCAATGATAGTCAAAGAAAAAGGGTTCTCGAATGAATGACTTAAGCCAGTTTTGTACTTAGGTAGCAGGTTCTCCTTCCTTTGTACACCAGATTCATTGGCTTAAAATAACAATGAAAAAGCCATCTTAACTTCAGTTATCCATATAGCTGCTCTGCTGACACTGAGCAAATTATGGGTAAATTCGGTGCTTGGTGTGAATTGCAGGTCAGTAGTGGGTGGAAGTTAATAAATCTGGCAGAGTGAGTGTGATCCACTCATTTTCCTTGCACTTCTTATGTTCCTCTGTTGGTTGTTCCTGCTCTAACAGTCTTTGCATCCCAGCAATATGATAGTTTTATGGAGTTTGGGATTAAGGCATCAATTCAGATGTCCTGTGCCTGTGTCCTCAGCCCATTGGATCATGATGATGAGCTGCCTCAAGACATGAATTTAGGATTTAGCAGAGCAGATTGCACCGATGGTCTGCCTAGCCTGACATGTTGCCTCTAACATCTGAGCGGTCACTTAAAATCAGTGTATATGTATGGATTACACATCATACCTCATTTAAAACTGCTGTGTATGTATGGATTACACATCATACCTTCTATGTGTAATGGCAGTAATAAAACCCCGCTTTCAGATA